TATATATATATATAAACCCTAAATACATATATACATAATTTTATAATAATTATAATTTAATATATATATATAGATAGATAAATAGATAGATAGATATGTATATATAATTTATCTCATAATTTATATCTTTACGTGTTTTTTTAATATATTGCTTTTAATTTAATTATATTTTCAAAAACAAAAATCAAGTGAGTGAATGACAACTTAATAACTAAAAATTTTGGGTAAAAAATACTTTTAGTTTTTCAAAAAGTTTTCAAATTCCTTTTTAGTCCTTTTAAAAAAAAATTATATTAAGTTAGTTTCTTTAAAAATAAAATATGTTAACTTCAATTCTTATTTATTAAAATATATGTGTGTGGTTGATATCTCTAAGAGTATAAATAAGGGTTTAGGATTTTAACATGTTTTATTTTTTTTAGAGACTAATTTAATATAGAATGTAATAAACGGTCGTGGTTCCTATATTGTATGGTACAGTTATTAGTAACGAAAAATATCTAATTTAAGACTACAAAATTACGATTACTAGAAATTTGTACTATATTGCATGCATATAAAGGTACACAACTACATAAATATGTGCAATATAAATACAAAAATTTGATAAATGTAAACTATAGATTCTAAGTTGTTTATACAAATCTACCACCATCGAATAGTCAACAAAACGCCCTCTAGCTCATGCGCCACTAAGTGGTCTCCATAGCAACACTCTAGTCCTAACCTTATCTTGTTTTCATATCACGTATAATCATTGCAATTCAAACCATATGAAAACACATAAAGATAAGTTGGAGTAAAAAAACATATATATAATACAAAAATATCACATCATCATCTCATCTTTAACTACATAGCAACAGGGCATCACAATATGCAACACGGATCAACACAACAACTATAGTTTGATACAACAACACATTTCATCACAAATCAACACAATATATGAACAACAAAATCAACTCAACACATCATACATAGTAATTATATGCGTTGTCATGCATTTCAACTAGGAAATTTCTTACAACATATAGTGAGCAGTTTAAGTGATTTGACCTTACCAAATCAACAACATAGGTGATCTTTTTAGGCTTGCTAGATCAACAATAAATTGGATAAAAATCCACAATATAGCAACTTGATTTCTTAGATGTCGCCATTTAAATAAGAAAATATAGTACTAATGTTAAGGTAGAACAACTGGGTACGATGTAATATCCCAAAATTTTATTCAAATGAAAAGAGTTATTTATTATGTGAATAAGTATTTTATTCCCGTATTTTACTATTTATGTATATGTATTTTACTATTTATGTATACGTATTTTACTATTTATGTATACGTATTTATGAATAGTATTTTACTATTCATATGAATAGTAATTTTGAAAAAACGTAAGCGCTTACGCAAAACTCAAATTATTTGGATGAATAGTATTTTACTATTCATGAATAGTAATTATATTATTATTTTAATGAATAGTGCATAGTGCATAGTAACTTCAAAATTTCTATAAATAGGGACCTAAGGATTTTGAAAATTCATAACTAGAGAGAAGAAAAGTTTAGAGAGAAGGAATTCTAGAGAGATAGAAAGAGAAAATAAGAGAGAAGGTTCTGCCTAGGTTGTGAAAAGAGGAGGAGAATAGAGAAGGTTCTGCTCTAGTTCCGGTTCCGGTTTAAGGAGAAAGAGAGGAGATTCTGCCCAAATTCCTATTTATCCAGGTAAGGGGGGTAATTATTATATAGAGAGACACTTTAACATGAAGTGGTCGTTTAAGTATGTTAACAAATCAAAGACTTTAAAGAAAAATTAGCCCGAGCCTAAAAAAATATCTCTGCTATAATGCAGGTAACAAAAGGAACTTGAGTGTTAAATTAATTTCAACATTACCAACATTCTTTAGTTTGATGTTATGATAGATCTTCAAGTTTTAAGATTTAAATTTGAGTCTTGAATCCGATAAAAAAAAAGTTTTAAGAGAAATTAGGTTCAGCAAAGTCAAAAGATACTCTCACTTATAAATATAAAAAAAATTAACTTCAAAGTCTTAAGAGAAACTAATTTCGACAGTCATTTAAGGATACTCCCATTAATACCATCTTAAAAATAATGACAATTAACTTCTACTTTTTTATTAAAATTTACAACTGATCATTACAAATTATGATGTTACTCCATGAGATGTTGTGCCAATAATTTGAATGAAGAATTGTGTTGTTGGAATAATGTTACTAAACTCAAATATGATTATTTCCGGTGAAAGTTACTTGTGATCTATTAAAAAATAATTCGTTATCCACGAGTTTGTTTTTTAAATAATCTGTGCTACTATTCAGAGGCTACTTTGCTGAAAAAAAAGGAGCACATATACCAAAGCTGCAAAAATGGCTTACGTTGGGAATACAATAGGTAAGCTTATGCTACACTATGATTCGTGCTTTTTTCATGTACAAAAAGATAAATGGTTTGTGTTTTATTTTGAACGTGTGCAAATGGATGGTGAACTTATGTCAATTATGCAACTACAATCTGCAATTACTATAATATGTAACGTTTACTTGCTTTTATGCACCATTTATGTCAGCGTTCTTATTTTATATGCAAGGAGGAGATTTTGAAAGCTCCTTTTTCATGTAAATAATGTCTTCGTCTTTGATGGACAGTTTTTTTTTATTAACTTTTCAAACTTTGAACTGCTGCGTGTAAAAGTGTACGTTGATCAAACTTTGATGGTTTTTCTTTAATGGATAAGCAGATGATTTCTCATGGACATGTCTGAAGGATTTTGATTTCACTTCTTTCTGTACTCAAAGGAGCATCATAGACACTGCAAATCTACTTTTTGCATGTGTCTTCTACGCGTGTTTGATCATAAGTCTAATCAGAACCAGTTCTATCTGTGGTAATCCAAGGAAAAGCTGGATTTTCATTATTGTCTCAATCTGCTGTGCTATTATTAGCATTGCATTTTACACCATTGGCTTGTGGAATCTCATAGCTAAAACTGGAAACTCTAAGAAGCTGAGCTGGTTAGGTTTTGTCAGAGGATTCATTTGGTCTTCTTTGACAGTTTCATTGCTTGTTCAGAGACACAAATGGATCAAAATTCTGAACTGTGTCTGGTGGACATGTTCCTGTGTATTGGTTTCAGCTCTCAACATTGAAATTTTGTTCAGAGAACATGCAATAGAAATTTTTGATATTGCACAATGGCTCGTACACTTTCTTCTTCTCTTCTGTGCCTTCCAAAATCTTGGTTACTTAGTCTCTCGAAGTGTACCAGAAAGTTTATCTGAGCCACTCTTAGCTGAGGAAAATGATACTAAACAAACGGGACTAGGCCATGCTTCCTTTCTCAGCAAGTTGACTTTCTCTTGGATTAACCCTTTACTAAGTTTGGGTTACTCAAAGCCATTAGCTCTTGAAGACATTCCTTCCCTTCTTTCTGAAGATGAAGCTGACTTGGCCTACCAAAACTTTATGCATGCATGGGAATCACTTGCGAGGGAGAGGAGCAAGCACAATACCAAAAACTTGGTTCTTTGGTCTATTGTTAGAACTCACTTAAAAGAGAACATATTAATAGGTTTTTACGCATTACTCAGGACCATTGCCGTTAGCCTTTCTCCTTTAATAATCTATGCTTTTGTGAAATACTCAAATGGGAAGGATAAAGATCTTAAAGAAGGTCTTTTCATAGTGGGTTTTGTTATTGTGTCCAAAGTGGTTGATTCTGTGTTCCAGAGACATTGGTTTTTTGATTCCAGGAGGTCAGGATTGAAGATGAGATCAGCTCTGATGGTGGCAGTGTACAGAAAACAGCTAAAGCTTTCAAGCTCAGCGAGGAGAAGGCACTCAACAGGTGAAATTGTGAATTACATTGTGGTTGATGCGTATCGCATGGGAGAATTTCCATGGTGGTTTCATATGACATGGACTTCTACATTGCTACTTGTTCTATCTATTGGTGTCCTTTTTGGTGTTGTAGGTGTTGGTGCTCTTCCTGGTTTAGTTCCTCTTGTCATATGTGGACTTATGAATGTACCATTTGCCAAGATCCTACAAAATTGTATAGCGAAGTTC